AACACTGAATTAAAAAAGATTTTTATGAATCACGCGATATTAATGTTACAAATATTTTATTGGTCCAATAGAAGGTTTTGTGCCACATCACGTGAGATGTATTCTTAATATAGTCATACTGACATGTCATAACAAATTATGTCGTTATACTAGTATAAACTTTGTTTGTTACTATATTGAGATGTCAATATAACGAGAGTAATAAAAAAAAGAGAGTGGAGAAAGGAAAGATATGAATAATTATCTTCGTGTAGTTTTCAATTGGTTTGAAATTCTTTCACTTTTATCATAAAATTAAAATTTATTGTCTACAAATCATCATCACTGTCATTGTCATCAGTACGATGATGACTACCTTTTTTTTCGCTAACAGCAATCTCATCATCATAACCATCGTATTTTTCATTTAATGTTTCTGGATCTGATGAAGAATCTCTACTAGTTAGTTTTGGTGATGTGGATCGACCTCTTCTTGGTGACGAAGAATCAACAACTGATGCATCAATATTACCATTTGATGGTGATAATGATTTTGATTTTGATAATGGTTGTGGTTGTGGTGCTAAAATAGTGCCATTTATCAAAGATTTTCTTGATGGATTGAAGTGATTACAATTTTTACAATAATATTGAATATCATCAAATTCGGCCGGAAAAGCCAAACCATTCCAAGTATAACAATCTTTACAAATCAAAGCATATTTTTGTTCGTCTTCGCCAGCAACTACATCAACTAACTTATCATACCAGTTAGTTTGATTTATTGATGATGATGGTTTAGATGTTTGTCGATCAATATTACCATTATTATCATTATCATTATTATTATTTGGTGGTAGGCGTTGGCGTAAAGAATTTGGTGTGCCATGTTTTAAACTACCAGGTGTTGTCATTGATGTAATTTTTTGACCGGGAGTCATTGGTTGCTGTTGTTGATTTATTGGAGAATTTGTTGGTGAATCATATCTATCTAGCAAAGTCTTAGTTAAATAATAACTAGTTCTCTTTTTCTTTTCTTCTAGTTTAAGACGAATATGTATGTCGTGTAATTTATCATCTATGTACTGGCCATACATAGTTGGTAATTTTGCATGATAAAAATCCGACGTGTGCGCACACGAATTTAGTATAGATCTATTTATAACAATATCTAACTTGAGTTTTTACGCGCTAGTTCGATGACGCCTTCGAAGGAGTGTGTAGTCTTCGAGATTTCGAGGTTGCTAGACGAGAAGAAGAATTGACCATCGAGACAATTGAAAAAAATTTGCGGATATTAAAAGGGGATCTAAAAAAAAGCAAGGCTCGGTATGCTAATATTTTAAGGAAGAGGTTAGGAAATGTTAATCCCTCGGAACTTTCATGGTGCGATCCACTTGCGAGCCAGGTTCTCAGTAGTGAAATGGAGATGGTCAAGAAATTACCAGAAGATGATTACAAGTCTTTCATGGTAAGAATAGAATATATTCCAATTATGTTTATAGAACAATATAAATGCATCTTTGCGTTATAAAATATATACTTAAAATTAATGAAATATATATTTGTAGGAACCGGTGAAACATATGCAAGTAGCTCTCCCTCACTCAATCGAAACAGTATGTGATGATTTTTTAACAAACTA